CACCATAACACAGCAGTGCTAACCACTGAGCCATTGTGCCACCCTGGTGGTCACTGGCTGTTGACCAGGAGAAGATTTGTTTATTCCTATTCTTTGTTTTCTGTCTACCAACTGATACTGATTCTGGTCTTTCACCATTAAGAAGATATTCTCATCTGTTTTCTGGCCTCAACTTAAACTTTATTGGAGTCCATTTGTTATAATTTTATTCACCCATTTGTTACCTCTTCAAAAAAATTCAATCAGGTTCTTCAGACATGACCCACCCTTTACAATCATAGGCTAGTTCTATTACTAAGCAGCTAAAAATTTCATGTGTTCAGTCATTCTATTGTTAATAATAGACATGAGTAATTTCTCCACAGCAGAGATTGGACTAAATGTCTTGTAATCCCCTGGTTTCCCTTTATAACCTTTAAGTAGCTAAATAGCATTTGCAATATTGTGCTCCAGAGGAAGAGTTTCTGAATGGTGAGAAATTTGGAGAATTGTAATTAGGGCAGTTCCAATGGTTAAAATTTTTTTTTTTAAATGTAATGAGAAGCAAAGAATCAGTGTTGATGATTTGTCACTCTTTACTATTTTCTCCATTGCTATTATTTTGCTTATGTGAATTACGGTGAGTCCTTGCCCCGGATACAAAATTAGTTTTATTGGATGAAATGGCAAATCCTTGTCATCTACCATAATTCACCAACATGCCATCCCTTCCTTACTTGAAGTAGGAAACATCATCATTGCCAGCTTAAATAATGCTCTTGACTTTTCCCCTAATAATACTTTAGAATAATTGTACTGATTTTGATATCCCATGCAAATTTGTATTCAAGCTCTTTTTGGAGCACTTAGTGTCTGTTTTGTTGTCCTTTGCTGTTCTTTGTGCACTTTTCACCACAGCTTACACAATCTTATATATTATTGTCTGTTTTCTTGAAATATCTGTTCTCCTTTCTTCTTTAGTCATCCATGGCTGTTTTACTTTGCCAAGTAAAGCTTTTGTCCATTAAAGGGTATAAACTGTTTCTGTAGCATGTTCAAATCTTTTCTAAGCACTTCCCACTGATCTGGCATTTCGTCTACTAATAGATTTCTCTCTTTTACTAATAATAGCCACTGTCTCACCCTGTTGTTGAGACAACTATAATTGAGAATCATAGTGCCCTGATAACTAGCATTACCAGCTTTCATCCTAATTAAACCACACATTGTGAATCAATTAGAGTAACATTAGATTGCTGCTGCCTGTCATTTCTATTTCTGCTTTAATTAACAAATTTAACTCCGTCAGAAATTGCAAGAAGCTGTCTGTATTTTTACAGGGAAGGTTAAATTGATACAGGATTACCCGATGTGTCATTTGTGAAACAAACAATTAATTCTATTGCCTAGGTCTTTGAAAAACATGGACAAAAAAAAAATACTTTGGCACAGGAGACTGCTTAGATAATGACTTGCACTTAATATATAATTACAGAGTACAAGTAACTGTAGCATTCTGTGATTTAAAAGATTATTTGCTATAAACCAACTAAAAGATTAATAGGACACATGGAAATATGGTAGCTCACACATTACTCCTTCTGCTGATACTCTTTAAAGATATAATTATACATTGTTTTAAAAACTCCAATCATTTATAAGAAGATACATATACTCAGAATTTTAAAAAAAACTGCTTAAATTTTCAATCTGTGACCAATATACTTCAGTTTAGGAACATTAGTCAATGAAAAAGTATAAATACAATTATCTTTCAGTTTTCACCAACAAAAAAAAAGCATCTGAATAAAGTTTGATGAGTTTAGATGTTCTATCAGAAAAAATAAATTATGTTCATAAAAGTAAAACCTTCTCTCAAGTATGTTTGTGTGAGAAAGGTGGAAGACAAGAAACAAAAGCAAATGCACTTCATTTTTTAAAAAATTCATTCACTGGATGTGGATTTTGCTGGTTAGGCCATTATTTGTTGCCCATCCCTAACTGCCCACAGGGCATTGAGAGCCAACCACATTGCTGTGGGTCTGAAGTCACACGAGGCCAGACCAGGTAAGGAGGTGTGTGGGTGTGCAAATTATAAACAGCAGCAGCCATAACATGAATACACACCACACGTAAATGAATTCCACGCCTGAATGTTCAACCATTGGTTTATTTACGTTCAAAGTGAAATTCAAACGTGTTGCAAGATCATGTTTCACGTGTCCCATAAAATCAAATCAAGAAATTAAGTCACAACAGTTCCATTTGACAGAACAGCAAAACTCTCCCTCAATGCAGAATCCCAGTTCCAACAGGCCTGGGTTGGGGGTCTTGATATGTTTGCCACCTTACTATGTTAGAAGAAACCATTCAGATGTTCTTCATTCTTCAAGCTTATTGGTAGATTCTAGATTTAACTCCAGTGATTTTATGGCAATGTCAGATTGAAGGTATTTGGCGACAAATAAAGAGAAAAATTTCCAAAGAAGCCTCAATCCACTTTAGCTTATCTCACTCATTCCTTCCCTTTCATGATTTTCTATGCCATTCATCTCAATAGCTAGAGTATAATAAAGTGGAGATTTTCTTTTACAGATAAATGCCTTTCACCAAGAAAAAGAGGAATATCTATTCATTGACCTAAACTACAACAAATACTCACCACATATTTGGAGGATGAGTCCTGAACCACATTGGCACTAGTGACCTCAAAAATCAGTTTCTCAACGATGTGGTTCCCTTTGGATTTCTTCCAACTTTCCTGAAGCTGTTTAGTAAGCATGTTGCAATGCTTCAACTCACCCCAAAGGCTCTCTGTAAAACACAAAGTGAATGGTAATTTTGCCAGAAAGCTAATACAACAGACAATGTACTTAAAATAATTGCAATCAACTGTTGGACTGCCAACTTCAGTAAGGCAAGAATGGAGCTGGGCCAGATGGACTAAAACTAAAAGGCTGACTGACAGGTAAAACAGTACTTGAACAAAGGGCTACCTTTAGGCACAGTCAAGGTACAATCCCTCAAAAGAGAAAGGCAAGACAAACAAAACTGGAGCTCGCTGGAGGACAAAGGTAAAAAGGATAGAAATTAAGGTAAAGAAGAAAAAACGTGCTTGTGACATGTGTCAAGCAGTAAGTACAATCGAGAACCATGCTGAATACAGAAGGTTCAGAAGGAAGGTAAGAAAACCAATATGTGAAACAAAGGTATTATGAAAAAAATATTGGCAGGGAAAATCCCAAAGTATTCTATGAGCACACAGATTGTAAGAGGAGCAGAGCTAATCAGGGACCAAAAAGGGGATTTACGTACGGAGGCAATAGGCGTGATTGAGATGTTATTTGAGTGCTTTGCATAGAAAGGTGGAAAATTGATAAGCAGGTGGTATTGGATAAGCTGTTGCCACTTGAAGCTGATCAACACTAGGGCCACATCAGATGCACTCAAGGATACTGAAGGAAATGAAACTGGAAATTTCAGAGGCATTGACAATAATCTTTCAATTTTGCTTTGCAAATATTTTGGATAGGATAGGATTAATCATCACATGCAAAATTGTGTGTTGCTTTGGGATAGTCAGCATGGATTTGTTAAGGGAAAATTGAGTTTAAGTGCCTTGCTGGAGTTTGTTGAAAAGTAAACAGAGAGGGTTATGAGGGAAA